AAAAATTAACAGCGGTCTACTTAACCTCCTTTTAAAATAACGTTTGGGCGGTGAATCAAATAATGTGGCTGCGGTAAGTCAATCCTTGTTACATCAGAAGCAATAACTGAAAAACTCACTTTGCAAACTCGTGTCTATACCTCCAGTTACCGTTCAGCATCGAATTATCCATCGGCATGAACTGGGGAAGCGCGTCGATCATACCTTTCCGTGTCTCGGGCGACAAACACTGAAGGAAATGAGGTATATGTACAGTAAGAGGAAAAATCAGAACAGCCCAAGCAATCACTAATTCATGGTGAGTGTACAGGCTCTCCTGATTACAGGTTGAGAGCGAATATGCACCATGAAGCGCTAGAAATGGGTAACACATTGGTGTAACTTACCCGATAGAACTCAAAGAGATGTTTCAGAAGCCCAACACGCACTTCGAACGCATCCTCCCTACAAAGTTACAAAAATAATAATGTCAATAATGTAGGAAATTGAAAAAAAAATTGCCAAAAAATGTTAGCACTACTGATCGAGTAAAGGGTCTTTAGCTATAATCGCCTAATTTGTTATCAGTGTTTTCAATTAACTACGCCAACAAGTTTTTTGGCATAATTTGCTCTTGACTTCGATTTGACGTCATTGCTGCTGAAAGGATGTTTTAACGAAACTATAAAATCGCACAAACATGGCCGCAATTCGTTGACTGTTTCAGCACTTCTTCTTCAGCGGCTTATCACTATGTCCATTTGTTCCAACGCCCATTAGTTTGCAGCAATGCTAATCGCTGCTTTCCGTTTTTAGCCATAGGATGCCGTAAACAACAATAAGACAGAACTCGAACCAGAATTCAAACCAAGCACCATGTTACCAATCAAACCACCTTGTGCTTAAATTCTAGAAGTTGTTTGAGAACATGGGGAAGGAGGCTCACACGATAACTAACGTATTGCTCGAGACTACACCAAGTCACTGAACGAAGTAAGTTCGGAGGAGCGCGATTCTCATCTGAATTGATTGTCGTGATCTTATCATTGAATACCCCGGAAACCACGTCAGTCTAGTCTGTTCCAAGAACCGAATATAAATTATGGGATGACTCAACTTATTAGGACTCTGCAATCAATCGAAATGTTTCCGAAAAATTTCGCAGTACTTCTGTGTAAATCAGGAGTGGGAGTGGCAACGAAATTTTCCTTTCTATCGCCCTCGTGCACTTGATAAGTACACGTTTCTAGCGCCTACCTCCCTTTCCCCTCACCATTTCCTCTCCCAACCTCTGTGCATTCAAAAATGAAAGGACTGTTTTGAGTAGTGCAAGGGACAAGCAGTATATGATTAGACACTACTGAGGAAAAGTAGGACCTCTTTCTTTCCGTGTACAGATTTTATCCAATAATAACTTCGGTACAAGCACAAGTGACTACAATATCGAGAGGTCAATGCGACTTAAAGCTTCAAGAAGGGGTAAAAGCTCAGAGAAAAGCGCATATTTACGGGCCATACGCTGTTTTGCGTAAACAAATATTTGAAAATTCGAGTAATGACTGGTCTTTACCAATAAAAGGAAAGACAAGTGAGTCATCAAACCTGTACGCGTGAAATACTGGGAGAAGATCATCGTCTGTATGTCGTGCGCCAACAATAGCTGCCATTTCATGGATCGAATTTGCTATCGAAACGCGAACTCTGAGCTGTAACAAGAAACTCTTTTCAAGCTTTAGACGAAAGAATTTTGGCAAGGCTCACTTGATCGTCAGTTGCGAGTTTATTGTAGGTGTCCCTCAACTGAGGCCAGTTTGCTCTTCCGAGAGTGTACGCTACGGCAGGGAAGTTGTGTGCGCAATGCCGATTGATATCAGAGTCCATCATCCCTCCAGGCAGAACCATTCCCATAAAATTGTCCACCAATTCTTGCGGAACTATCTTCTGCAAAGGAATCTTAATGAAAACTGATATGGTGGTAAGCGATCGGGCACCAACTTGTGTTTCGTCTTCTTCATAAGACTCGTCATTATCAAGATCATCCTCTCCTCTGCAGTCAGCAAACAGCTCTGTCTCATCCCCTTGGCCGCTTAAGGTTCGCGAAGTTTTGCAAGTTCTCGGTGACAGAGAAGAGATGTCGTCGGTTTCTGAGCTATGACTGTTTCGTGACCGACGAGGGCTCGCTGTTGGTGTTCCTGTTCGTTCGGGTGAAACATAAAGGACGTCATACCGCCGCTCCAAAAATGAAGGTGCACTTGGGACAGACTTTGCAGAACCAAATTCCACTAGTTCATCACTGAAATGGAAATCTCAGAGTCATAGATTTTGGATGAACTATAATGGTAGACTTACTTGTCTGCGAACCCTTCATATGAATCTGCCCAGTACGATATTGGAGTGAAATCTTCAGGCACATTAGACGAGGGCTGCAAATTTTTACAGAGGTCCCCATTACTTTAGTACACAAAAATGATAACTAAAGTGCGACACAGTGTTTTGCGAAATGAAATAAAATCTGCAACTTAATATCTCTCAGAATTTCCTTTCTCCAACATACCTCTGCTAGTTTTGAATCGTTACGGTCATCAAGCCCGAAGCTTTCGTCCAAGCCTAGCCGCATCGAAGTGTCAAGTAAGTCCATATCATTGTCATCAAAATCGTCGTCATCTAGACCAACTCTGAACAAAAGCGATTAGGCACAGAAACGCATAGGACTTCCAAAGTCATCCAAACAAATGAAGCGTCGAAGACTTGAAAACACCACTATATAACGATAGAAAGACCGACGAATTCTCCACAAAACCTTTTTTCTTTAACCGTCCGCCATTCAATTTAGGAGTAAATTTACGAATCGACAATCGACACATTCATACTTCGCGCTCGCTCACGGATGAGGCCGAAGGACGATAGGTTCGGCGCTGGCGTTGATCAATATATCACGTGATGACTCAGGAGACTCAAGCTAGGACTTCACACCTTCTAGGAGCCCAATCCTGCCTATTCCGCTTCGCAACTCGGCGGAAACTATTGAGCCACTAATGTAAATACTGTAAGCAGTTGACCTAAGATAGAGCGAAAGTGAGCAGGCAAGTATGAAAGCCTTTAAGGCGTGAAAGCCTAGCATATATTACATGATTATCGACTTCGCGATATATAAATCGCGCAGACGCTGAGGCCCAATGCCTAGCGCCCATTTCCCGTCTGGGGTATGAATTACAGTTAGTCAGTTTTCTGCTAACCTCTAAAAGAAAAACGCAGACGGCGTTACCATACCGCGAAATTTAGAAACGAAAGTTATCGTCTTTTCGAAAAAATATCAAACAAGATGTCATGTCGAGTCGCTTGATATTGAACATGAACTTATTCTCCTGATACTGTAGAGTGGCATATCGGGACAATCCGCTTGTGTTCAATTTTAAGCCCTTTTTGCAGACCAACAGCTCAATACTAACTCAGACATTTGGAAAGGTTGCGAATGTTCAATTTGAGACTATCTTAATCTATCCCTTTAAATGATTGTCTTGCATAGGTAGGTTACCAACCTATTACATGCTTGTTTCCCATCGTATAAGCACAGTAGGAAATGCTTGAAATGTCACAGCAACCTCTTATTTATTTGCATGTCCCGAATCATGTTCACAGGCTATGCGGGTTTTGATTAGAACGAAAGTTTTGGTAGAGTTTCATATAAATTAAATGAGCCTCAGTTGACTCTACCGGCCTCTATGATTCCAAGATCGCACGTTAATACTGTCATTCCTTTCAGAGCCTGAGCCAATCTTTCTGTATATTTAGAATATACAAGGTTATAAGGCAAACTTCAAAGCGTTCCTGCCGCAAATCTTTAAAAACATTGAATGTTTCCAAAAACAGACTTTTACAAACAGAACTAACTTTGACAAATCATCGGATGAATTACATTTCGCTGCAATGCCAACGTGTTCACATGAACTTGAAGGTTCCTCCTCACTGAAAATTTGTCTCTCTCAATTGTAGGCAAGCCTTTCAAGTGTTTCGAAGATTTCAAAAGACAAAAAGCGAAATAATTGAAAACCGACATGACACTGGGTGGAGCGCTGCGTGTCGAGTTTTTCTTGTGTCCAGCTGTCCACGTATCCAACATATGTTGTAACCCATCAATGATTCTAGAAAAATTTCCGAATTGTTTTCTAACGTCCCTACAAAAAAATTGTTCTATGCTTCAATGTAAGTTAAAGTTAATATTAATTTCATCCTTTCTCTGCTCCAACAGAAAAGGGAAGGCAAAATATCGTTCATAGCATAAAAGAACTTCGCGTAGAAGGATTCTACACTATCAGACCCCTGCCACTAGTTCACTTGCAGATGTCTATTTCGATTGCAAAAGAATTTTCAATCGCTTGCAAATTCTAATGAATAGTAAGAAGTCATACTGCTCAGCGTCTTCGCGAGGATCGGATTCCTGGCCACTATCCTCTGCATCATCATCCTCGGAGTCTTTTTCAGGCATACAACATCCGGCCGGTAGCTTTTCGAAGTCTACTGAATCTGCGACGACGCTCTCTGAGTCACACCGACCATCCGATTCGCAAACCTAAAGAGAAAGATCAAGCTCTTCAATCTTGATCCCATTTTGAATATTATCCTTTAGTTCAATCTGTCTTGCTTACCTGTCCATCCTTTATTTTCAATCCAGATAACTTGGAATTGGCGAATGTGGCGATAAAGGGACCCAGCTCCTGGAATGCCGTGTACCACACCTGGAAAACAGCAGAAATTTCCTTAAAGTAATCATATTCTTTGAAATACTGATGTAAACCTACCCAACGCGATGGATCATGGAGCAGTTTCACAAATGTCTGTGCCAGCTGTACTCGTCGAACATTTGGTGAGGCATGACGTGCTACTTCCACGAACACTTCACAAACCGCCTTTCGAACGCCCCAGTTTGCATCCATACAAAGATACGACAAATGGGGAATGATGAACTGGAAACATCGACTTCATAAAATCATTATTCACCGGCGACCAACTATTTCCTGCTTAATGATTCACTGAAATTTTATAATTGGATGCTCCATTTACAAGCAAGGTAATATCAAGATTCATGTCGTTGCTCTGCATATACAAATTCCGGATTCCAAAAGTAAGTGCAGGGAGACTCAGGATAGAGCTTATCCTATCTCGAAGCATAGGCCGCCCAACCGATCCTAACCATTCTTTCAAGTATCGTTACCCATTCGCAAGCTTTAAATTCCCCATTTCCAAAAACGTGCTATCGACCCNACCCTTGACTGCTGGTTTCAGTAGCAATGAATGTTGTCTGTTGAGAGACAGCCCGAATCGCTTGGTCAGCACCGATCACCGCTGAAATTTCAGGCGCATAATCCCTTGTGGTATCGATTGCAGCAGGTACTCTGTCAGCAAATTTTCATCCGGTGCCAATGACTGTTAGTGATAGTCCCTAGGACATTACCGTTCCCAAACCCACATAGATCTCTGCTGTGAAGTCTCTGTAGGATTAGGAACTCTTTCTACTCGCTCCAGGGGGAGAGAATAACCATAAATATCAGCAGTAAATTTCTACATGTATTCAACAGAACTTGCAGTAAACTTCTATGTTCAACTAGAATTACTAGCCTAAATAAAGACCTAACGCAATGCCTTGAGAGCCTCTGAACTTAATACTCTGTCTTCCTGATCCAACACGATCTTCCCTCTGATTTTCGATCTTTCAACCTTCAATTTTTCCCAATCATGTTTCGCTAAATCACTCCACCCACTGCCTCGTTTACAGTCTGACGCAATGACTAATCGATTATTGCGCCAATATTCCTGATCGGTGTTAACAATGTCGAGTGCTCAGCTAGCAAGTATTCGAGTGATTAAAAAGGATACATACTGGCCGCGATTGAAGGGTATTCCGTGTGACAATGCGATACCACTACAGTTGAAGCGTAAAGCTCATAAGAACAATCTTAGAGCTGACACCTGCGCCAGGTCAATTTTGTTCTCCATCTCTTCGGGCAACATCAAACAGCAGATGGATTTGGAAAGTGCTAATAGGGATCAGCAAAAGGGTAATCTGGTTTCATCCAGCTGAGGTGTATTTTGGTATACAACCGTTGTCCTTCGCTCCTTATAACCGCAGCTCGGAAGGAATACTCAGAATTCCGTTCCATCAAAACGAAGTGCCAAAGTTGATTTGGTTTTTAGGATTGGGTAGATAACTCAAGNGTGCCTGCTATGAAAAGCACTGATCCCTCTCACTCAACACTCCAGCTAAGTCAAATAATCGCTGATTACTATTAATAAAGTTGTAATCAGCTTCTAATTTTTCCTAGGATCCTACTTTCTGCTTTCAAGATTCCATCTTTACTGCTGGCTGTTTTCCAGCGATACATCTCCGGTTTCATCCAGTCCGCTGAACCCTTTCGTTTGTTTGTAAGTTCTCATTTTTCTGCGATTGTTCTCGATCCCGTATTTATGATACGCCAGAAGTATTCCATTCGCACGGCATTTTTTCTTTCTTTCGTATCTTGGCATAGGCCATTGTTTGACTTACTCATGCACTGTGGGATAACGGAAAAAGTATTACCACTGGCATTGGCAGTGCACTACAGAGACATCAGAAGAAATGTTGGCATGGGTCAGTGTTTCCCGAGTTGCAAGATTTTTAGGGAAGCCCTGGCTCCTCGAACTGGTACGAATTGCATAGGAAAGATAATGTCGGTGCAAATTATCACGACATCAAAAGCACCCAAACCACAAAACCTGACCAGCATATATCGGCACATACTATCGCGCAGCTCTCACAAATCAATAAAGGTAAATGATCCATCGATCGACTCCCAGGGGATCAGGATTATAACTATGAGTCAAGTTTTGCGCTTACCCCGATATTTACTCGGTCTTGAAAAAAAATGAGAAAGATTGCAAATGCAAATGCATGCAATGTATTTGCAATCTTTCTGGGTATTTGCATTTGCATTACATTGTCTAAAAAGCCTCTCAGAATTACAAAAACTATGTATTCCGTACAGGATGTGTTGCATGTTCCAACGATGTTTAATTTGAGAAAAGGCTGGGTTCATGAATGGAGCTGATGCGAACAAGTATGCGGAACTGCCTATCCTTTGCAATCATTATGAGAACTGTGCAACCCGTTCCGAACAGGGCTTCCTGAGCCATAACTGCAGCACGACAGATCAGAGTCTATGTCCAGGTTGGGTATATGGTCGCTAACTGGAAGGAGGTAATCCGAACAAAGAACAGCCACTTTTTGATAGATGAGAAAGACAGAAATGAGCAACAACATCAGCTGTTCCTTCAAAAACCTAATGTGCTTTCTACACGAACTAATCCTTCTCAAGTTGCTGAGCAATAACTTTGAAGATCGCTGAGAACAGACCATCATAAAGGCAAGAAAGAACACTCGATTCCAGTAGGTAATTTCCCATTCTATTATTCCTTCTGAATATTTCGATTCATCTCAGACCAAAGCCAACAGGTTTTCCAAACAAAGTTCACTTGTATGATTGAGAAGTGAGATTTCGAAATTTCATTTTTAAAACCTTCAAAAGCAATAACCCAATTTCATGTTTTCGTGATTTTTCAATCCTAAGACGACCGGATGCCGTTTCTGGGCGCACTATAAACTGGGTGGTATTTGAATATATCTCCAAGAGCAACTCTCCCTTCAAAACAACACAACCAATCTTTTTCCGTCCCCCTCACATAGAGAAATAATATTTCCTAGTCGTCGGCATGGGTTGGGGAACTCACGTACCCTGTGTATCAGATATATCATTGTGTTAGATTGCGCTCGCCCGGCCTGCCGTTGATGGCGTCTGTCGTGAGCAAAAACAACATCGTTACTCCAGAGAAATGGGAGAGTAGATTTTTTCTAAGCTTTTTACAATCCCTGCCGTATGCCGGAGCCATACGCGTAGCGAATACGGTTACGATGCTTTGCCTCCTCAAAAAAATGCACTATTTCTTTTACGAGGAACACTAGCGAGGAAATGATGCGGATGACTGAGCGCAGAGAACTGAAACTCTCCAATGCACTATGCTCTTGCAGTAATTTCTGAAGTTCATTACTGAACCCTAATCTGAAAAAATTCGACCATAACATTTTGCTTCAAGAAAAAAAAACTAACCAGTTCAGTAAACTTCTGCCCGAAGATTCGCGATAGGTCCGCCAGAACAGCTACTGCTGCCTGAATAAGAGATCGTTTCAGGAAAAAATTGGGCAAACTACCAAGTACTGACAGTAAGACGTTGTTTAGTGTTGGACGAAGCTTTAACCAACACTTGCTGTTTAATATCGCTTCGCTGACATTTTCGAACACGGACCTTAGTAGGAAAAACAGTTAAAATAGTTGCCGTCATCAATTAGTTGATGCAACGGCTATAGAGTTCAGGTGATAGAGCTCAACCCAGCATTGAAACGGACAGGTAACATCCAAACACAAAACAGCCTCTTAGTATAAACTGTATGGAACTGAATCACTGCAGAAAAGCGCTAATCATGCCTTTTAAAGAAATTTCTTTTCGAAATCTTGCCAATGCTGGAGCTGTCAATAGCTTTTGTGTTTAATTTCAAGCCGTTCACGATCAAAATCGAATTCCCACGCAGTACAAGCTGAACTGTCGACAACCTAGTTAGGTAGGGCAACGCTGGTAGTTGACAATTTCAGGTATAGCTATGGCGTCATTCAGTATGCCAGTTCTCTTTTCTACCAACCTGATCTGGTAAATTTGTGTCGTGTTCCTTTATAGAAAAAAATAATGACCGACAAAATAACATTACAGGTACGACGGATTACTGTAGAATTACTGTACAGTCTTTCCTGATCACCGTTCTGTTCAGGCGTTTCTTAATCGGCAATTAGTGTACTGCAACATTGCTACTTTTCCGATTAGTACATCTTAGGATCCCGTGTCAACATTCTTCTTTCCCGATTGTCGCCATATCTTTCAGCAAATTCAAACTCCTCTATTCAGACTTTCCTGTATCATATTTGGTAAGATGCACAAAGAAGCATGGGAGACAGTGAATTGCACAATTGCTGGCAGCTTGCCAATGCAGTCGAATGTTGGCGGTTTGCCAATGGCCGTATGCGATCACGAGATGACCTGCCCTTTTTAGAATACGACATATGCGTAATCAGAACGGATCGAAGGGCACATAAAAACGTTCAGACATGTCTGCGGCGCTGCCTGTCATTTGGAAACAAAAAGGCAACCAGCAGCTGGCCATTCGTCGTTGCTGCACCGATCCAATCCACAAACGGAGTAAATTTAGTATGACAACAGGAAATATATCATTAAGTGACAACAACTACAGTTAAGTGCACAAAAATCACTTCCCTGGTCCAGCTTACCGTAGAGTGAAGTAGGAAGTGTTAAGGGATTACTTAAGCCCTCAGAAGTTACAACTCAATTATGACTGTTTGTCGAATATTGTTTACCACAATATCGGTAACTCCTCAAAACACGCAGCAGATCCTTCTCAGGCCCTTTGTCCAGCTTACCTTAGAGTGGGGTGGGAAGTGTTAAGGGATTACTTAAATCCTCAGAAGTTACAACCAATTATGACTGCTTGTCGATTACTGTTTACCACAATATCGGTAACTCCTCAAAGCATGCAGGAGCCTTCTAAGCCTTTTGTGTGACAGTGTAAATCCATGTTTTGAAGTGCTCAGGTATTTCCCTCAAATCAACTACCCCTGCGACGATCATGTGTTGATGGCTCTTTTGTGTTTTCCAACTACTGTCACAAATATTGATTCCAGTCGTACCATTTACTTTTCTCCTTTGAAATGTTGTTGTGTAGGCAAGAATTGAAGAAAAAAATCCAAGAAAAAACTTTGCTACAGTATGCTTTTCTTTTCCGCTATCAGCTATCGGCAGACAGAGTCCTTTCCATGGTTCGATCGCAATTGTCCAATGTTTGCCAACCATTTCCATAAAGACATCAATATACAAAATCATTTTATGGTTCTGTTAGGTCTACCAATCGTTCCTTCACGACGAATTTACTCATTCTTGTTGAAATAAACAGCTAGGTGATGGCTGGGTACTGGTCTGATGGTTGCTCAAAGAATGAAGACGCTTGTCTTGCCCGTGTAATCCTGTGATCGTATTAAACTAGTCCATTATCCTTTTCTCTGTTCAATGTTTTTCGTCAGTATTTCTGGTATGGCAGCTGTGAATATCAATTGTGTTTAATTCAGCCAATGTGTCGTTTTGTGGAAATTTCTTGGTTATTCCTTTCCAACTACCCGTTCCTCGTGAACTTCCTCTCATTCTTACAATGTGATCCACTTAAAAGAAAAAAGAAAAACAATACCAAACCTATAGCAAGCGCAAAAAGCTTTAACAAACCGCCGTATGTCCCAAAGATGGTACACAGAGCACTTAAAGGGTGCTTTGGGAGCTCTGCATCCACCCTACCTGATTTTAGTGGCGCTTATTAGTGTTCCTCTGTTTACACAGATGCCTCCGAGCGTTTTTATATTTAAGTAAATTGAAAAGCACGACGTTATCACTGGATGATTCTACTTTTGGGCGTAAATAACTAAAACTCAATGAGCGATCTCTTGCGGAATTACTTTGTCTACTACCATCGCCCACTCACAAAAACTGTTCGCAAATATCAAGTTTTGTTCGCGTCAATTTCTAATGTGGCGGTTGATACAATGTCTGTAGTAGACGTATTCAAACTCAGAACTGGCTCAAATGGGACTTCGATTTCTCCGATAATATACCAGATTTGGTTTAAATTTAACGAAAGTACATGAACTATATGCTTATGACTACTATTTCCTCTAAACGGAAGCAGCCTCATAGAAGCAATCTTACCTGGCCTTAGCAAAAAAAAAAGTCCCCAATTCAAAAAATACGAACCAAAAAAGTTTGCCTGGAATCAGTGAAAATTAGCGTTTGTTGGATCTATTTCACGGTGCCCTTCTCCGTTCCTGTTCAACTATTTCGCTGGTAATATTAGGAATAGATTGCAACGTTCACCCTGGCCCGACCTCAGTTTTCATTGTGCTTTGGTGAGTTCTTCTCTACTGCGCTCATCCTTCTACCCTCCCTTCACTCTTCGATTCGCATATAATGCGAAACATCGCAAACACACTGCACGCCACATGCGATGATTCGATCTGGCGAGTGTGAGCACTGCGACAGCGAGGAAAAAAGCATGGCGCCAGCAATAAAAAAGCCTCATGAAGAGAGATACCTAGCTGAGTAAATCTGTCCGATTATCCACCATCCACCCGCGAGCTGTCATAATATCACTGCCTAGTATCACACATCACCCACTTAATCTATCCCCTGTGAGCGTTCTCAGATAGAGCCTAAAAGTAGCTTGGGAGTCTATATTGTTAGTTTCATTGCTACACTGCAGCATCAATTTCCGATGCGTCAGCTGATGCCATCGGTGCTGATGACGCTATGCGATCGATAAGTCTGCCAACGCACTTTCCCCCGCAAGTGCAGCCAGCCAGGCAGCAGCGCTGTTTGTTCGGCACTAGAGACGTGTTTTTGAATTTTTCGAGCTCCTTCGTTTTCTTCTTCCCCTCAACCTGGTTCTCTTCAACCCCGACGAATCACTGTATGATTCATTTCAATTCGATCTCTCCCTTAACCGCCGCCCACCGCCGGCTGTTTGTTTTGCGTTTGTGTGACGGCACTTCCAGACGGTTGAATGCAACACCGATTTCGCTTTTCTGCAGTGATTTCCTCTCCGAAACTAAAAAATCGCATGCGCCCGCGCCTACTTTTCGGATGTGGACCACATGGTGCTCGAGAAATCTGCTGTAGTCGGCGATGAAATGATCGAAAAGCCATCGTTTGTCAGTTATCATTCCTGATGAAACAACACGGCACAGAACCTGAAACACATTGGGCTGACAGAATGTTGACCAAAAGTAAAGAAAGAAAAAAAAGGAAACAGAGTAAAAAGGTGAAGAGAAAGAAAGTGCCATAGAGAAACACGGAGAGAGACGCCCCTTTGCCCATTACAGCACATCAAAGCTGGCTGTGATATGAGCAAGTCGACAAATCACCCACCACTTTGACGTGCCGTGCCGGTGTTGAGGACAGAAACTCTGCTCCCTCTGCACATGTGCACACACCCACCACATGATTCACGAAGTCAGGCACAAATAAAGAAACAAAGCGAAGGGATGCACACGGACGAACGGACGACGGACATGGACGGTTTCAGCCGAGCAGAACAAACTGCGAGTAACGGCGAACAAGTGACGAGACAAAGAGTGAAGGGGAGGCAATAGAAAGAGAAACGCGCCAGCTGCGTAACAGCCGCCACCAGCACCCAAAAATCGCCGATGGCTGGCCTCGATTTGTGCGTTCTGAGACGAGCAGACGAAATCAGAATGACGTCAGAAGCGAAGCGAATAAGGCGATCTGGATGGAGCGGTTGTGCTGGCAGTAAAAAGGGCATTGAGGGGGGAAACAAAGGCAATAAAGGAGGAGATGGGAGGTCTGGGTTGGAGTGTGAGGAGGGGGATCCGGGCAGAGGGAAGTGCATATTGCGTAGATTCAAAGGGCGAAAAACAGAATAGTGATACGGCCAGAACAAAGCGTCTCACTACCCATGTCTTTCACCCTCAGAACTACTCGCACTCTCTCCATGCACCGGCTGGCATCACCACGACTGCCCTCCGTACGCCGCTCAGTCCGTCGTCACGCGAGCCGTGCGCACCCTCCGCCGCCCGCGTGCACTCTGCGGTCGACATCTGCGCCCTCCGCACCGCCAATGCACTCTCAGCTTGGAGCGCGCGTGTTTCTTTCGAGAATAAATGCAATGCATACACTCAGAGGGCGGGGTTGGCGGGCGCCGGCGCGCGGAAAGAACCGACGGCGGCTCGGTGGGGCACGGGCTGGTGAACAACAAGGAATTCTGGCTGGTTGGTGGGTGATGGGTGGAGAAGATGGCATGGGAGGGGTCGATGATGGGGGCCGATGACGAGTAAGTGCGATGTGCACAGGCAGAATGGTGACACATGGACACAAGACAGAACAGGCATAGAAAAGGGGCAGCACTGAACAGCAGCAGCCCGTACCGCAGCTATCTCCACACGGCGGTCCTCCATTCCAGGATCATCGCCCTTTGATTCGACCAGATCGAATAGAATAGGAATGATCTGGTTGCGGAGGGCATCTGAAACATGATCGTTCATTAATCAAAAACCATACGTGAACAAAGCAAAGTGAAAACGAAATGGAACGAGTACACAGCAACGACGCAACGCTGGCGGCATCTGATAGCGTTTGTGAAACGACGCTCCCTTTTTAGTGTGGTGAACAAAGGCGCGATAAAAGCTAGTCGAATTGCCGACTCAGATAACGACAGCGACTACGGCATTGCTGTTTCTGATAAAGAAACGAAAGGAAGGTCGTTGAATGGGATAGAGATCCAAGTAGAAATAGCTGCTCACCTTGTGGAATGAGGCCTCGTTCGAGCAACACTCCAACGCCAAAAACGGCGCGATTACTAGTCTGAAATAGGTGAATGTTTCAGAATAACCAGCCGAATCAGTTCGTCGAACAGACTGAATGGTAGAGAATAGGAGAATAGAAAAAGTAGTCAGTCCGTGGTAATAGATGGTGTTGGGGATGGGATGCTGGTGGGAGAGGCACAGAGATGGAGAGGGCGACAACGAGCAGGATAGGGAGGGAGGGAAATGGGAGCTGTCTTGATAGCGGGCGCACACACGCAACAAACACGCTCGCTCACGTTGTTGAAGCGGGGGCGGGGCCAGAGGAGAGCGCGAGCCAATCAGCGTTTGGCTGGCAGACGCAGCAATTGCCAGACGTGGTAGAGTCAGACGACGGGAGTGGCCAAGGACGCAGACACAACAAAATGATAACACAGCAGCCAGTCAGAGAAACCGCGAGCATGCGAAAATGTGCGCACGCAGCAGCTGATGAAAAAGACTGCGGAAAGCGGCGGGAGGCGCAGACGGTCGCAGCGCGACGCAACGAGTGCGCGGGCGCAGGAGAGGTACGAGAACGGTGCCGGTGGCGGAGGGAGATGAGGTTGGCTGGTGGCTGGCTGGCAGGCAGCAGGCAGGCAGGCTGCCTGCATGTCGGCCGAGCGGGCAGGCAGGCCGCAGATCACAGAAGGCCAACGAGTACGAAGGGGAACAAACCAAAGACTGACTGACTTCACTGATTGCCAGCAGAAACGACGAGCAGAACACCACTGTTCAACGCTGGAATATGCAAACGTTGGTATCGCCCCTCGCAACTGCGATACGACATGCTCCAGCCCCTCGACCTGAGGAGAGCTGGTTGTATAGTCGACTAGCGGGTGCTGGTGCTGCTTCTGGAGGGCAGGTGGGATATTGGAGGGAAGTCGATGCAGATGGCAAACGTGCAGGAGCGAGCGAGGTGACGGCTGGGCGCATTTCGCACATTCAAGGTCAAACATTACAAAAAAGAGCGACCGGTTTTCGTGTGCGGAGAAAGCGATGACCCTGGCTTAGAAATCGTTCGACCTTCGAGCAGCAATAGACAAGGGACGGACGGACCGACGGCAGACGAGGCGCACCCGAACAAATACATATAATACTAGCAAAGCATTTCGCCTCTTCAACACAACACACTGCACTGCCGACGCCAACTTTCCCTCTCGCCACACTAAGCCGCTTTACGAGAACAATCACTACGGGTTTTTAGGAGGGGAAGAGAGAAGTTTAATGGAGAATTAGAAAGCATAAAAATGATGATTGGTGAAACTTAATTCGAGAAGAGTTAAATGCTTAGACAGTTCATGTCTAAGTGAAAACAAGAAGGCTGTTTATACTAGTATCGACATAACGTCGATAGTGAGGAATATCTAATGTAGCAAGCAAAAAAGGCTCGTTGGGTGCAACAAAAAAAGGTCTCAGACGTAGAAAAAACTCCTAGGATCTCGCGGCTGCAACAGA